TTTTTTTTAAATTAGGTATATTATGCTGTGGTAGAACTCGGCAGAGGTGGGCTCCATATCCTTGTACACTTCCCAGTTTGTGTGTTTGCCATCTCCTAGTACAAAATAGTAAAAAGATAAAATACTGAGGGCCAGGGTGGCTTAAGGAATTTCTAGAGAGATATTAATACATAGATATTAAAAACAGTTCCTTAATGATCTCTGGAGTTCTCAAGTTTATTGTCCTTCTACCAGTGCAAACAGATTGGTGCTGGGAACTTGGGTCTAGACTTTGGCAAACTTTGGACAAGTCTTTTGTTCTGAAATCATTTCCCTTTTGAATAGCTAGGAGGTACTGTGGGATACTAAGTTATTGGATAGTAGCTGTCAAATAAACTGTCTTTCCTTATCATCTGTTTAGATTAGAATTTATCAGGAAGAGCTTTTGTAAGTACAAGTAAGAGCCTGAAGCTAAGGAAAATCTTTAAGTTGCACTTGCACAACAAGGGATGAGATGAATAGGTGGTCATGCACCATTTCTCCATCCATCATTTTGCCTTATGTAATCTTCACCTGTCTCTGAGAAATCTTGTAATAGGGTGTTATTTGAGTCAACCATGAGCATTCTTCCTTTGAATCTGACTGTAAATCAGTATTGTAAGTGCTGCCATCATAAAAGTTTAAAGCTTGCAAAATTTATTGTAAACATGTTCAAAGATTCACTTAAACTGAGCAGTCACTGTCTCTGTTTAGTGAGGGATTTGACTGGGCATTTGGAAACCTGCAAATGTACTTCATAATCTGTGGTAGCAGAGTTTCAGTTAGTGCTGATACTGGCATAACACAGGTGTAGCAGTCTCCTGGTTGCTAAGATATATTTTTAAGAGTTATTTTCTTGTCAATCTTAGTTTTGATGATGTTTATTGTTTCAAGGTTCTTCAGTTGATGGTCTTAAGGGTCTTTTCTGACTTCAACGATTCTGTGATTCTAAGAGGCAAAGTGTGATTCAGGGATATGGTGACATCAGCTGGTTCAACATTTTGTGATTCCTTATGGTCAGAAGCAAAGGTCAGTAAAGTCTCCGTAAGACTTTGTGGTTACTTTGGCTGTGATTCAGATCCCTGTAGATCATGGATTTAAATTTTAATAATAAAAATCCTCAGTGGAAAGAAGGTGTTTTCATGTAAACATCCATACAGCTGCATGTTTTGCAGGCATTAAGATTTTTGCAGTAGCTACAATTCCCTTGGTCCTCACCAGAGTGGGAATTAACTGTCATGAATCGCCAGAGCCATTTTTCCACCAGAGTTGTTTAAATGGCACTTCAGGAAATGAGGGAAAGATGGAGAACAGAGTGAGAACATTTGGGAGGATAACTGAGTTTCACCTGAGAAGCTGGTTGTGGGATTCATGGGTTTCTGCTGTGAGCACAGGAGGGGAAAAAGAACTCTTGGATCTGAAGAAAGTGAAGTATTTTAAGTAAAACCACACTAATGCATTTTTTTAAAGTTACCTGAAGTTCATTTGCCACTTGTTAAAAACTGAGATTTTTGTGTGTGTTAGGAGAGAAAACTTGACTGTTCTCTGAATGGGAAAGTTGTAGAATGACAAGAGTGGTTGAAGGTAGGAAACATTTTCACTACAAGACAAGAGTAGATTCATTTTAACTCTTCATCCTAGAAAGGATTGAAGGGGAAGAGAAGTATCTGAAATGGTATATGGAACAGATATGATAAATAGGGAAAAAATACTCTTTCAATTTAAGAACAAATACAAATCCAATGAAACCAGAAGACAAGGGGTCGAGAATAATTTGAAAAGAAGACACTTTTCAGCAGCATGTTTTTAAACCATTAAATTTACTGTTATGTGATGCTGCAATCAGACAAATCCATGGAAGAAAAATCTTCCAAAGACTTTTAGTCATAGAAATAAAATCTCTGAGTCAACAGACTTAAGCTGGTTAAGTTGTGCTGCACGTTCTTATTCTCTTCTCCAAGCACCTGCTAACTCTCATGGTCAGTGACTGAACCTTGGACCAGGAATGCTATTTTGGTCCAAGCCAGAGGGAACATTCTGATGTTGTTTGGAACAAGAGTCAGTTACAGGAAGCAGATTGGAGAAATTGTTATGCTTACAAAAGAAGACTCTGGCTTTCAGTGAACTTCCAGGGTATGATTTTAATCCTTCCTTGTGAGTCACTGAGGTGAATGCCAAGGAATGGAAGGATAGGAAAGCACCTTGTGTGGAGCTGTAAGTGACTTCTTAGCAATTCTGGCAGGAAACAGCTCTGTGAAATCTTCCTAATCCTTCAGCAGGGGACCAAGGAGCCCATAGCATGATTGCAGCTAGTGCACAACCATGACCCTGTTGCATCAAATGGGTTTGATTTCACCATAGTTATGAGGATCCGTGTAACTCTGAGGAAACCTTAAGAGAATAGAAATCTCAGAAAGGCATAGTGGTGTTTCCTTATAATGTGGCTTGCTTTCCCTTAGCAAGTGATTTAATAATTATCTGGAGTATTTGTGTTTTATCAGAAACTCTATTATTAGTATTTGTCCAAAACTTGTGTTTTCTCCAGCGCAATCTAAGGTAAATGTAGAAATGGCACTACTATCTTTGACTTAAAAATCACCACTACGCTGTACTGTATTAAAACAGGCCAACAGTTATGTCTATGAAATAATGCCCTAGTTAGCAAAATACAGCTTTCAAACTTGTAGGCTGTGTAGTATGACAGATACAAGGAGTCAAAAAAATCCTGAACAAAATAGTTATGTATTAATATATCATTATATCTTAAATTTGCAGCTCAGTTTGAGATGCTAAATGCAACAAGGACCAGTCCAGAGCTGAAAAATATTTTGTGGCTACATAATTTCTGTAAATAATTCTTAATGTCTTTATCTCTGGCTAATATGTCATCTCTTAACTCTGCATCTCAACACTTGAGCCTTCTCAACTTCTGCAGTAACTGAAGTACAGGAAGGGTTTGTTTTTAGGGGACCCCATTGATTTAGTTTTTTATCTGAGTTCATTGCCTGAGGCATAAATAATGCCAGGTTTTGGAGATACGGACTTCTTCCAGTGTATTTGTAAGTGGCAGAATTTCTCTTTGCCTATAAAATTTTCTGTGGTGCAGTGTGTGCCTTATCTATGGGACCCAACTGTGGGAGAATAGATGAGGGCTTTGGAAAGCTCAAAAACATTTTACAGAAACAATTACAAAAATTAAGTTTGCTGCAGGTAAACATTTTACTAGCATGGTGACTTTGGTAGAATATACAGAGGGACTGCCGTGATGAGCTAGAATAAACATATTTCAAATTTAGTGTCTCTGAGTTTGACTTGGATAGCCAAAACAGAAACCAGCCCTGATTCCAATTATGGAAAAGGACTGTGTCTGAGACAAACTGTTCTCAGAGGCTATGTGTCTGAGGAAAGCTGTGCCACTGGAATCACAGGTGTTTTGTCACAGTCTGGATTTTGTGATGTGGGTTGTTGTCTTTCCACCCATTCTCCACAGGAAAGGTGGTGTCCTCACCAGAGGATGTTGGTGGAGAATGTTCTCCAGCTGAGAAATCATGATTTATTGACACAATAAACTGGGGGCACTGATGTCAGCGAGTGCTGTAGCAAGACACCAGAGATTTGTGCAAAAGAAGGATTACATCTGCAATTTGCCATGAGCACCAAGTTACAAAGTGTCTATTCAAATAAGGCTCATAAAACTTCTTTCTAAATACTTTTAGTTGAATCTTTGAACCAAATACACTCCTACTTAGTTAAAACTGAAATCTGATATAATGAGTTGGATCTTCTTGCTTGGGAAGAACTGAGCTGAGTACCCACATACCTCTAAATAAAGGCTTTGGTTTTTATCTCACAGCAGCATGTGAGGACATTCCTGCTGTCACTGACAGTTTGTCACCCCCATTAGCCTAAATTACTGAGATATGTTTGCACTGGCTTTGTGGCTCAGAACTTTCTCTTTCTCCAAAGTTTAAGTTAATAGGACAGAAATTTAATTGGTGGAGCTACCTTCCTGCAGTGAAGGCAATAGAGATGCACCAGAGTCTGGACTAGTATAACTAGAGACACCTCAGGAGCATTTCAGGTGGATTGTTTATAATTCTGTAAGTATCAAATAAAATAATGACTTCCATTTTTTAACAAAGTAAGCCCATGGCATGGTTACTAGAAATTTTGTTTTGGGTTGGTTTCCTGTCTCCATCTCCTGTGTACAACAGGTCCATGCTCAGCTGTTTCACATGCATGTCAAGGTCCTGTGTTTTATTACTGCATTTTTCTCAAGGCAGAAACAATATTAGAAAGGTCTTAGAAACTAAGAAAACTTCTAGAAAAATCTTAGTTGAAGGAAGACTTTGTGCCTGTGCTTCAGCCTTAAAAACCTGAGATGTATGATCACTTCCAAAATCAGTCATACTCAAGCCAAGCTCATTCAGTTTTATATCAAATGTATTTATTTATTTTAAAGTGAAATTAATTCTTCGTCCACATTACGAAATCCAACCAAAATACTTTGTTTCCCTTGAAAGGATTATGTGGTTATGGGCTAGGCAGAAGTCTAGAAATATTTTGCCTTAGGAACTGACACCTCCAGAATTCTTAAATAAAAGAACGTGTAGATACATCCAATACTGGAGTTAAGCAGTGCCCTGATGTCAGTGCTGGAGTAGTGCTGGCAGTTTTTTTTCTCTGCTGGCTTGTCCTTAGAGTGCTTTATTCTCTTTCCTTTCCGCTGTAAATTTTTAATTTCAAAGATAATCTCGTATCTTGAGGAAAACTCATCTGTTTAGGGACAAAGGTCATCTTCAGAGAGGCAGTGTCTGTGCAGGACTTGTCTCTCATTTAGAGACATCCCTTCATGGATGCAAATATAGGGCCTTTTGTTTGTGTTATCAGATAAGTAATAATATTTAATTCTTATTCATTCAATCCTTCTGCTACTCCTAATACGAGAAAAAAAATGCAAATTAACCAGTGCTCCTCAACTCTGGTTTGAGCTGTAGGCACAGCCCAGATTTATTGTCAGGTCATTCATGCAAATGTGATCCAGTCTGCCTGCACTGGCAATGCACCTTGTGGCTAATGCAGAGGAGCTGTGCTCACATCCAGGGTGGATGACTCCAGGGGCAGACAGGGGAGGACAAGACTGAGCAACTCCCTCACCAGTAGTTACAGAGCCTTGGGACGGAGAGAACACTGCATCCGCCACAGTGAGCCCTGGTCCTACTGTAAAAAAAAATATTATCAGTAAGAGAAATAAAATGTAATTAATTGAAATTATGCATTTCATGTGAATGTGAATATAAATTTAAAGACTATGGGGTTAATTCCATACCCTGAGTTTTCTGATTGGAGAGCATTGTGAAGAATGCAATTACTTGCAAATCAAAAGATGCATCTTCAGCTCTCTGTATTGCTCTAAAGCAATGAGGTTTTGATCTTAATTGAAATTCTAATGCATGCTATTTTCCTACTAAATCTGTGTGAAGGCCATTGTCTTAGCACACTTATGATATTTTTCTCATCTCTTACTCTTTTCTTGCTTAATATGTAGACAGTATTGCTGTGAGTGATAGCAAAGCTGCTTGTTTCCCTTGGGGATGGCTGCATTTCAATTACAGGTGAAAGGCTCCATTTTAATTAAAGGTGAAAAGTGCTCTCTGCCTGGGCTTACACTTAGCACATAGGAACTTGTAAGGCAGCAGGCCTAGAAGTGGTTGCTGGCTGTTTACAACTTTTGACATTTGTGCACGGTTTGGAAGATTAGTAGGTACTGTTTTGTGCATATTTGGGCATGCACGTTTTATTTGAGGGCTCTGAGGAGGAGGGAGTTGAGAGCAGCTTGAAAAGGAGAGTCAGTTATGTATGCCTAAAAGAGGAAGCCAAGGCTTTTTTTATTTTAAAATAAAAAAATCTGTCACCCCATCAATTGTGGGGTGGCCTGGGCTAAAACATCTCCCAGTTTTTCCAGCCAGAGTGGCCATCAGGGACTTTGTTAGAGCAGCAAGAGGTCAGCGGTGCGAGTTAAGCTCACATGGTCTTAGCATGTCCCAGCCTCTCCCCACTGCCTGGGCTGTGGGAGGTCCCTGGCAGCTGAGCAGGGCTCAAGGCAATGAGGCACTCCACACTGAACTGCTGAGATGGATTTGCCTACTGCTCAGAAGTACTAACAATGAACTCTTTTTGAATTTGTGAGCAAGAAAAACAACAAACCTCCTGTAGAAAATGTTTATTGCTTCAGAAGAGAACCAAGTTTTAATATTTTGACAGTGAGCTTGAGAACAGGAAGAATAGTGATGTAATAAAATTCTAAGACTAAGCAATATGCTCAGTTATTGGAGCTGTGATGAAACACAGCTTTTTAAATTTTGTTTAAACCACTGAGATTTAGAAAACCATACAAATAAACTTCACCCAAATAATGATGAAAATTGAAAAACTGATATGAAATCTATTAGCAAATATTGTACCCTTTCTTTTACAAAAGAAACAGCCTGAACCATGCAGCTGACAATTTTTCAGCAGCTCAGCTCCCAGCAGTGCAGAGTTTCATTTGGTTCGGAAGGGAATAAGAGCTGCTCTTCATCCTGTAAGACTGGAGGTGCATTTGGGACATGAAGCTCTGGCAGCTCAGCTCTGAACGGGGCCACGGAAGGTGGGAGGGCACCTACTGTCATCAGGAACAGAAACATTTGCAGTGGGAACGAGTCAAAGTGCTGGTTCAGATGACCCTGAAGCTGGGAAGGGTTTGAATAGAGGCTTTGACTGTCCTGCTGCTGTTATCTGGGCGAGTGGCAGCGGTGCCGCGCCGATTTCCGACGTGCGAGGCACGATGTTCCCCTCCCTCGCGCTGCTGGGCACTGCCCTGGCCTGGCAGAGCTCAGGCCATGCTGGAACCTCTGCAAGTCACCTCAGCAGGGCTGCAGGAACACTCTGAGAGCACAGTGGTCTACAGACCCGAGAGAATAATCTGTGAGATGAGGTGACAGCTTGTAGGTAGATTGAGATAGAACTGGAGAAGTGGACCTGCTTCTGGATACATCCTTTGGGCTTCCCAAACAGTGGGGAATTTTGCTATCCCATTTCTATTGCTGGCTGGTTTGTTTCACTTTAATTTTATAAGTCCACTCAGGAAGAATGCACTTGTCAGTCAAACAAATCACTTTTTCTTAGCTGGAAATGTTATCAATATCTCCCTCCCATTTGCATAGGTTCCTAAGAAAACAGCCCAGTAAATCCCAACATTTTGATTGGATTTTGCTTCATAAAGCTTCAGATCAAGTTGACTTTATTATTACTTAGAGGCTACAGGAATGTAGTGAATTCCTTGCCATTGTAATTTAATTCTCACGACACTTGGAATGCTTTATATTTTTGTATGAAGAAAATCATACCTTATCATTAAAATTACCTTTTCTATTAAGATTTATATTTGCCAAACCACTGGAAACTAAAACATTAAAAAGAGAACCTAACAAGTCTTTAAAAAACAGAGTTCTAGATGAGAGGTTACACTAAAGAGGCTTTTTTAATGCAACTCTTGCAGTATGAAGGCTACTTAGACTAACACTGCAATCCTTATTGGTTTAATCATTATATTTACAATAAGGTACTCAGAGGTACTAAGATCTGAAATAAACTTAGATATTTTTACAGGAAATTATTAAGAGCTTAATTTTTGGAAATGTTTCTGATCTGTTTCTAGTGCTTTTAGTGCATTGAACTGTAGTGAATAGAAGCAATAAAGAAAGACATGTGTTAAAACATCCACAGGATTTCCCATCGGTGCAGTATCGGAGAATCAGAGCACAAGTTTTATGTGGATTTGTTTTTTGGGTGACCATAAGAATTGAGACCGAAGTCCTCAGGGAGTAGGACCTAGTAGTCATGTGCATAACATTTTACATCATAATGCCAATATTTCAGGTTTTTTCTGGGATGAAACTCTATGGATTTCTGGACCAGGGAGATACTGAAAATCTCACTGAAAAGATCATCAAAGATGCAAGTGATGAGCATTGCAAATGATTTTTCATGTTCTGTGAATATCTGTCCATTTAGGAGCTGTCTAAGACACTCATCTCTTTACACTGGCACTATTGAAAAGCCACCAGTGTGGGAGAACAATTTCTGTTCTGTGCCCTAATCAGTCTGGATTTGAATCAGTGCCTTAGAAATGAAAAGGTCTGTGATGTCTTATCAGTTTCCTGCACTGTTTGGTTATCCTAAAAAGATATTTTCCACTTGTGCAGAGTACAACATTAAAAGAAGATACAGCAGAATTCTTGAAGACTGAATTTGAAAGGAAGATCTGAATGTAATAAGACAGATAATATATGTTTCTCCCCTGACTGGAAAAAAAACAAACCCATTTGCCTGGGAAAACAAAGCAAGGACTGCACAGACATGGCATCCTCACAGGCTTCATCCTCTAAATAGCATAGCCACAATTCACCAGGCAATACTGTGTGATGAGACTGGGCATTAGCTCAGTGCTTGATTAAGTCTCCACACTGAGCATTGCCTTCAGTTCACACTTGAGGAATTAATATTGACAGCAAATGGCCTCTAAAAGCAAAGTAAACTCCAAGCAATTTTCTTCAAGCAGGAAAATGGGGGTAAAAGCCAAATAAACTGTAAGCATTTTTCTTCAAGCTGGAAAACAGAGGTGAATGGAAATACACAGGTTGCATCCATATTATTAAAATATATACCTGCAAAAATGCGCATAGTTCCTGGGAGACTTTTTTGAATTGTGACTTTTGTCACAATTCCCATCATGCACTCTGAAGTTATTTCCATTCTGGCCAGGTCCTGTGTATAGAACTGGCAGTGTGTCACAAAGGAATGTGCCACATTCCCTTGGCACCAGGGAGCCCTGGAGCTGTTGAGCAGCAGGCATCTGGTAGGATGGGCTTCGGTGCTGAAAGCGCAACTAAATATATCATTGTAGCAGATATGATGTTCCTAATAACTAAATAACACTGCAAAAAATGATTTATTGAGTCAATCCATAAAATTCTACTGTAGTCAATGGGAATGGCGTCTCTTGTAAGAGCCTGACTGCTTTTTTTGAGAGCTTAAATATCCTGTTTGTTATTAACCAGATATGAAAATTTTGCCCAGAGCATCCATATGTTGCTCCTGAAGTTCTTAAAGCATTATTTTTATAAAGGAAATATTTTATGATTATCATATTGATGAGGAGCTTTATTGCCAATATGTGTTAGTATTTTATTTTGAGGGAGCTGTAGGAAATTGCTGAAGTAAATGAGAAGTATCAATTTGCTTTCTTCTCCCCTTAGCTATAGAAAGCAAATATTAGGCCTGTAAAACAGGGTCACTTCAACATAGGTGATTCACAACACTGTGGCTGTACAGCAAGTACTTTTTGGACAAACAATTAAGAGCAGCTAACAGATGGAAATGGTATTTTTCATTTTGGATTCCTAGGATAAGCCCATCATGCATCACAATTTGCTAAAAGCAAGCTTTTTCCAGGTAACAGTAAAATCAGAATTGATTGCAGTGGCAGTAGAAAGGTTCTGTGATTCAAATTCTGCTAGTTAAAATCTCAGAAGGTCCTTTTAACAATGCTGGTACAGGGGCCTTCAGTGCCGGGATGGGCAGTGCAGGCGACACTCAGGCGTGGGCAGTGTTGGTTAATCCTCCCGCTGTCACAGCGTGGATGATGTCTCCCGCTGCAGCTGACTTACCTGCTTTGTTGTGCAGCGGGACACTCACCCTGACTCACCCTGGCAGCTGGGGCCAGAAGAGGAGCTGTCAGTCCACATTACCTCATAAATGCCCAATAATGAGGCTGCTCCCACACCAGACCTCTGCCCCCTCGATTTGTGCTGGAAAGCCACTTTATGTCAACACAGGCAAAGGGGAGATGGCAGACAGCCTGTGGTCATTTGTTGGCAGGGATCTGAAAGCTTTTGAATGTGCATTTTTAACCTCTCCCTTTCCTGTCAAACAGTCCTGTCACCCATGTGGGCTTCAAGATAGGGGCTGAGCTTGGCAGGCTTGCTGTGTGTGTATGGTTTGGTCCCTGACACAGCTTCTATGAGTTCTTTAGCATCAGGCAGCTAAAGGAACCGAGGATTGCCTCACTTCAGAGCTTCAGGAACGATTTGGAAACTGTTGCTTCCTGTGACTTTAAAATAAAAACTCAATTTTAATGGGCTACCATGAGCAAACTTCTGGCTCACCAGATTTCCCACACACCGGTTCCTTCAAAGCCAACACGTGAGATTGCAGAGAAAGGCTTTGCTCCTGTTTTGTTAAACATTAACAGCAGTTTCCTCCCCTTAAGCACACAAAGGGACAGAGGTTTGACAAACCCTCAGTGTGTCATTTGCTGCTTGACAAGTGAAGCAGGCAGCGTTCAGGGAGCACAGAGGCACGGACTGAGAATTCCTACATCTCCATTCTGCATCTTTCCAGGAGAGAAGAGCTTCTGAGTAAGTCTGGGTGGCAGTGGTGGGCAGTTGTGTGCTTGTCAGAGGCATGAGAGGAGGAGCAATACAGCAGAAGGGAAGAGCATGAAGTGCCCCAGCACTGAATTCCTTAGTGCCCTTTCCCATAACCAATTTTGCAGGAGATGAACTGTCTACTCAGAGGCAGGAACTCAACACCAACATTCTGCTTACTGAAAGTAGCTATAGCAGTAGCTTTAATTTCCAGAGTTTGCAGTTCTGGTGTAGGAGAAGTGACTTTGTGGACTAAAACTCATTTTTACAGACCTCTTCCCTTCCTCCCTCTACCTCTTGTTCTCATGCAGAACCTCATCTCTCCAAGGCTAAATGCTTGTTTCTTGTCTATTTGATGAGATTCCTTTTTATCCTTTTTCATTCTTAAAGAGGATGCCTAACTTGATTTTTAAGTTATGCAACAGTGTTCATACCCATGCTAAGCTGAACTTGGTTTTATTATATAGAAAGTCCATGGAGAGAGACCATAATTGTTTATACTTAGGCTGAATATGCCTAACAATGACTGTACTTTTCTAACTGCTGAGATGAAAACACAGCATGAAATGAGGTGCTGCTGGCACAGTTTTGTGTGTTGTGTTGGTTTTGATGGCTGATTCTGGGTTTTTGTGGCATCTTTTTTTTAGTGTACTTTCTGTGAAATGTGTTCTCTTGGCTATGAGACAACTTGCATTTTTTTCCCCATTGAATAAAGAGCATAGGTCACAGGCTTGTGCTTTTCAGGAGAAAATCAGTATTATGGGTCCAAATCTGTGAGGTTCTGAGTGATGTAATTTAGGGTCAGAATCTGGACTTCAATTTACTGCTTCAGATATTCAGTATCTGAGACCCCATGGGCTCCTGGAAGGAGTTTGCTGTTTGTGTTGTAGTCTGTAGGGAGCAAATATTTTCAGAGCTGATGAGCTTATAAATGTTGTCTGTTGGTTTTTCTTGCTGCTTTTATACACAAATGTTGGTATTGCCTCACTTGCACCATAGCATTTTTATTTTCTGAATGCTTTGCCTGGTGCTACCTATGTAACTTCCTGTAGGGAAGTTAGCTTAGCTTTGTCCTGGAAGTGAAAGGATGTGTGATAGGAGAAATATCTTCTTGCTTTTAGTTGCTCTAAGTTAACATTTAGTTGCCCTAAGTTAGGCAAAACTTTCAGTTTACTGTGCAGCATTTCTGTTGCAGGGCAGTGGTCACAAAGTATTTTCATCCTTAGGGTTATACTGCATACAAATTCTCTCATAAGAAGTAAAAAGTGAAGTGAAATGTTAATATATATTGGCCAGCTCCTTATAGAACATAGCGTAAAACTAAATCCACAGTTTTATAAGAAGCCGAGGTCTTGTGAGAATCAAAAGCTTATAAAGGATATAAATCCCCCAGCTATTATTCTGATTCCAAATTTAGGCTTGAGATCCCACAGGTCTTGTAGGTGTGGTGCTGAAATCTGGTCTGGGAGGCTCATTTCAGCTGGATGAGTAATGGACACGTTTAAGTTACCCTTGATCGTGGTGAACAAAGTCGTGGGGAGTGTCTTTCCCTGACCTAGCTCTGCTCCTGTTGACAGTTATGGGCAGCAAAAGGCAGAGAGAAGCCAACGTCTGAATCTTTTGGAAAGTTTCCTTTAGATCATGTTTCTGAATATTGGTGCGCACAGTACTCCAGCACTGGCTGATTGTTCATTTGTTAATATGCAGTGAAACTGAATTAGGGCCAGATGTAGCCCTCTGTCAAGTTAAATTTAGCCTTGTCTGGACTCTTAGGTAAATAAGTATGATAGCAACAAGCACTGCAAATCACAACTTGGGTTTTTCTTTTGCTTTTTTTCCCTTTTTTTTTTCCCTTTTTTTTTTTTTTTTTTCAAGTTTATGTGTATATGCCAACAGATTGGGGAATAAATAGATCAAAGAGTTTTTCAAAGCTATGTTCAACTAAGCAAAAACCCCAACAACTTTTGGCTGGCCAAATTTTTTGTATGATGCTCAGTTGTGGGTATGCCCAACACATTTCCTCATTTTCCCGGCTTGTTTAGCTAAAAGTAGAGTGAAGCACACTGTAACCAGTCAGATGTAGTTACCTAATTTAATTATCACTGCAAATGTTATTTAAACTGAAACTTTGTTTTTCATAAGTGTGCATTTGCACCAGATCAATGCCTTAAATCTTCCTGCACTAACTTTTGCATCAGTTTGGATCTTCAGCAACTTCTCCTTAGCAACTTATGTGCTAACATAAGCCAGTTAATAGATTTTTAAAGGAAGTGAATGAAAAGAAATTCCCTCATAAATTCAAGTCAAGTTTATAACTTATTAATCTGTAGAAAGCCATTGTATTGGCCAAGGCCAAGCCCATCAGTGACGATGGCAGCGCCTTTGGGATGACGTATTTAAGAAGTGAAAAAAGTTACTGTGCAGGAGCTATTGCAGCCAAAGAGGAGAGGAGTGAGAAGATGTGAGAGGAACAGCCTGCATGCACCAAGGTCAGTGCAGAAGGAGGGGGAGGAGGTGCTCCAGGCACCAGAGCTGAGATTCCCCTGCAGCCCATGGTGAGGCAGCTGTGCCCCTGCAGCCCATGGAGGACCACGGGGATGCAGAGATCCACCTGCAGCCTGTGGAGGAGCCCATGCCAGAGCAGGTGGATGCCTGAAGGAGGCTGTGACCCCATGGGAAGCCTGTGCTGGAGCAGGCTCCTGGCAGGACCTGTGGACCCGTGAAAGAGGAGCCCACTCTGGAGAAGGATTGCTGGCAGGACCTGTGATCTCAGGGTGGACCCACACTGAAGCAGCCTGTTCCTGAAGGACTGCACCCTGTGGAAGGGACCCAGCCAGAGCAGTTAATGAAGAGCTACAGCCATGGGAAGGAACCACCTTGGAGAAGTTTTTGGAGAACTGTCTCCAGTGGGAGACAACACGTTCCGGAGCGAAGGAAGACTGTAACTGTCTCCCATGGGAGAGACCCCGTGCCGGAGCAGGGGAGAAGTGTGACTGTCTCCAGTGGGAGCAACCCCATTCCAGAGCTGGGGAAAAATGTTCCTGTCTGCATTGGGAGGAACCCCATTCCAGAGCAGGGGAAAAATGCTCCTGTCTCCCGTGGGAGCAACCCCATTCAGGAGCTGGGGAAAAATGTGTCTGTCTGCACTGGGAGGAACCCCATTCAGGAGCTGGGGAAAAATGTTCCTGTCTGCATTGGGAGGAACCCCATTCAGGAGCTGGGGAAAAATGTTCCTGTCTGCATTGGGAGGAACCCCATTTGGGAGAAGGGGAAAAATGTTCCTGTCTCCCGTGGGAGCACCCCTATTCCGGAGCAGGGGAAAAATGTGTCTGTCTTCAGTGGGAGCAACCCCATTCTGGAGCAAGGGAAAAAGGCTCCTGTCTGCATTGGGAGGAACCCCATTTGGGAGCAGGGAAAAAATGCTCCGGTCTCCAGTGGGAGAGATGCCATTCCAGAGCAAGGGAAGATTATAACTGTCTCCATTGGGAGTGATCCCATGCCAGAGCAAGGGAAGATTGTCACTGTCTCCAGTGGGAGAGACCCCATGCCGCAGCAGGGAAAAATTGTGAATGTCTCCTGTAGGAGTGACCCCAGTCCAGAGCAAGGGAAGAGTGCAATAAGGGTTTCCAGTGAGAGTGATCCCAATCTAGAGCAGGGGAAAAGTGTGACTGTCTCCACTGGGAACAACCTCATTCCAGTGCAGGGGGTGAGTGTGAATGTCTCCAGTGGGAGAGACCCCATGCTGGAACTAGGGAAGAGTGTAATAACTGTTTGCAGTGGGAGTGATCCCATTCCAGAAAAGGGGAAGAGTGTGACTGTCTCCAGTAGGATCAACCCTATTCCAGAGCAAGGGAAGAGTGTGAAGAATCCTCTCCACAAGGAAGAAGGAGCAGCAGAAATGCCATGTAATGAACTGACCACAGCTCCTGTTCCCCGTAAATCTGAGCTGATGCAGGAAAAGAGGTAGAGAAAATTGGGAGTAGGGGTGAACTCAGGAAGAAGGGGGATGGGTGGGGGAAAGGTGTTTTTAAGATATGGGTATATTTCTCATGATGATACTCAGATTTGATTGATAATTAATTATTTTTTCCCCAAAATGGCATGATGGTAATTGGTAAAGAGTATCTTCCTGTCCTTATCTCAACCCATGAGATTTTTATTATATTTTCTGTCCCTGTCCAGCTCAGGATGGGGAGTGACAGAGCAGCTCTGGTGGGCACCTGGCATCCAGCCACATTTATGCACACTGGAAAGCGTACCAAGGGTCATGTTTGTCATCATAGCTGGAATGTATTTTGAATTCCATAAGGTCAGAGTGACTGAAGAAAATGATGATAAGAGAGGCCAGGGGTATACACTTTGAAATCTTTCCTCCTTCAGATACAAGATGCAACCTCTGCAGATGAGACACGTATACTCAATTAATAGGTTTCCTTCTCCCTTGCTTTGGCATCTCTGTGAGTCATCTTTTACTTATCAACTGCTCCCTTGCCTTTCTGCTTTTCCAGGTGCCAAAAAAAATTGCTGCATGTGATTTCTTGCTTTCAGTTGTTTATATAAAAGAGAGATATTGTGTATATAGGAGAGATATTACTACTACTTCTGTCCAGAGACTGTTATGAATGTTGGACTACTTCTCAGAAAAGTAAAAAAAAAGTCTAACTTTTGGTAGGAAAACTGTTTTGCCTATCCTCAAAGGTTGCAGTTAATGTCAGTGTATGTGTGAGAGACAAGTTTAGAGGTGCAATTGTATAACTAAGTGACTGGAAAGTTCACAGAGGATGGTAATAGCATTTATTATGTTGGAAAAAAAGTCCAAGTTTGAGACACAGATTTTTGGTGATTAAAGCAGGTGGAAATCCACTCTTCTAAGGAACAAAAGAGAGAGGGAAAAACTTATTAAATGAAGTTAAAGATGAAGAACA